TGAGGGATTTCCCGAGGGGCGTACTTTTATGTGCTCATCTTGCATATTTATTTGCCTTTTACCCGTTATACTGTTGTATTTGTGCCCGACGGGCGGACTTTTCTGTGCTTATCAGCACTAACTGTTTTGAAATCATTTTCGTAATTATTGAAAAGATCATTTTCAAAAGAGATTTGAACTGAGCCAAGGTATTTCTAAAGATTTCACAGATTACACTATTTTCTCAGAAAATTGTACCCGGCTTCCATATAGCATGTTGGTTGCTTTACGTGATTTCTTGCTGCTCAATTATTATTTACCTTTATTACTCACTGAGTTGGAGTACTCACTTTACTCCCTGCACGTCGCGTGTAGTTGCAGGTATTTATTCACCCGGAAGTGGGTATTGGCTGCGTGGAGGCAGAGTTGTAGAGGTTTTAGCGAGGTGACTGCGAGCGTTCGCAGCACCACTGTCTTTCTATGTTATTCATTATTCTTGTTCAGTGTATTTCTAGACTGTAAAATGGGAATTTCATTCTTATAGATGCTCGTGACTTGTGACACCCCGGTCGGGCTGTGTTGGGTTGAAATTACGTTAATTAATATCATTAAATCATATTCGAACTGTTATTTAACTGATTAACTGCTTAAAAGTGGTGTTCTGAAATGGTCTAGCTGGCCTTGTCTTCATGAGAGGCGCCATCACGATCGGAGCGGGGTTTGGGTCGTGACACTATCATTAATTTCAATTTAGCATATTCAAGGAATTGAATGGTATAAGCTGAAACCCCTTCATTAAGTCAAGCCAATATTGCAAGGGTATAATATTTTTTTCGTTGAAAAATATTAGTTTTGAATCATTGGATTATGTGAAAGGTTTTTTTTTCAAACTCAACAAGAGAGAAGTTGGTTTCTAATTGATAGTTTCTACAGCGACTTTTAAGTGCAACAAAGATTACATATAAAGAAAAAATTGGTATGATGTGGATTATCTTTTTTTTTTTAAAAATGTACACAAATTATTTCGAAAAAACTCTTATTTTTTAAATTCAAAGATAATAAAAAGATAAGATATTTTTGAACATTAGTAGAGAGTTTTAAAATTATTATAATAGAAGTTATATCATGGATAAACTCAAAAAACTGAAATCTTATGGAATATTTACATAATATCCGGCCATATTTATTGTTTACTTTTTATAGCTAATATAAATAGATGATATACCGACAACACACGATTATACACATATTATATATGGATTATATATAAATTACACATCATTCAATTTTTTAATTTAAGCGGTCAGGTGAGCACCTATTTAGGCTGATAGATAAAGCCAAAAGAAAAATATGAAATAATTTCAACCAAAGACTAAAAATATAATTAAAGTTCATATGTAGATAATTTTTATTAAAACTCATCCTTTTATAGTGAAATAAATTAACTTTTTGTAACAAAAGAAATAATGACAGAACAAATAAGATAGAAGAAAATAAATATTGAAAAAAAAAAAGAAATAAAAGATGACAATAAATTTCTTCTTATGTTTCATCTTTGTTTAAAAAATTTTAAAGTTAATCTCATCGATTTCAAATATATTTTTTTCAACTCAAATACATAGATTATAAGTTAAGGATATCTTAGAATATATTTTTTTAAATTTACATTATGTGACATTTTTAAAAAATTACTATTACTAACAAACTGATATGATATTCGAATTTGAATTGGAATGCAATTTGAGTAGTTTGCATTGAGGTTAAGCCAAGTATGGTGTCGAAAATTAAACTAATTGACAATTTTAAGATAATATATGCAATATTTTATAATAAAAATCAACTAATTTAACATTTAATGACTCAAAGAACAAAACTTTTGTATATATAGGGTATTGAAAATTCAAATTCTGGGGCTAGAGATATCGATAAACTTAAAGTGGAGTCATACTGAAATAAATCCGGCCAAAGAATCATTTAAAAGTTTTAGATAGCCGATTAAAGTGAATTTTAATTCAAGGATAATTTCTTCACTAGCATCATTATAAAGATAATCATTATTATAATATATATAAAGTTTTAGAAATTAAAATTTCAAAATAGATATATTTTTTGAAAGATAAAATCATACCAAATAAGAGTTCAAGTGGTAGTATAAGAGTCACGTCATAATCAAAGAATCGTTTATATCGTGTGAACATTTGTGCTTTGCCATAAATATGATTTATTATTTCTCTTTGTGGCTATTTTTAGGTTCCAATGCCACCTATGAGAATAGTGTAAAAATAAAATTATTACTACGAGAATTGAGAAAATATTAGTCTTTTTTCATGTAGTATTTCTTAATTAATATCTGACGATTATCTATAATTATTTAGAAGGTTTAAATGTTAAGGTTATTTACATATAATTCAAATAATTCAGATATTTTACATGGTTAATGTCAAATATCAAAATGGAGTAAAAAAATTATTAGCTATTTTTATATTTTTAGATAGCCAACTAAATGAGTTTTGAATTAAGAATAATATTTTCAATCACATTATTATAAAAATAATTATTATTGAAAAATAATGTTTTAGAAAATGAAATTTTAAGAAAGAAATATTTTTAAGAGATATGAACACGCCAAATAAGAGTACAATAGTAGTAAAAGAGTTAAGTCTTATCCAAAGAGTCATTCATTGTCTCAACATTTGATTGTTTTGCCATAAATATGAGTTATTATTTTGCCTCCTGACTATTTTTAGGATCCAATGACACCGGCAAGAATGGTATCAAAAAAGAAAAATAGAAGAAATGGTTATTTTTTTTTTTCATGTAGTAAATATCCAATGATTATCCATATTTACTGAGAAAGTGTAAATCTTAAGATTATTTACATACAATCCAAATAACTTGGATATTTGATATGATTAGTGTCCGCGCATCCGCGCGGGTACTAATACTAGTTTATATTTGGTAGTTGTAAAAGTGTATAAAATTTATACACTTTTTGTATATAATATACAAAAATGCATAATATGCAAAAAAAAATATACATTTTTTGGCAATTATTTTAAAAGCGACTATATATTATCATTTTCCCTAAATCGAAAAGGTCACCTTCTCTTCTAATTACATAAAGTTTGATGCTATTATTATTAGTCGTGGAGCCAAAAATCATGATAAGTACAACCCCAAACTCAATGTAGTCTCACAAGTTAAGTTTGAGGAGGGTCGAGTGTACGCAGATCTTGCTCTGCTTTTAAAAGGCAGAGAGGCTGTAAAGATAAAAAATGTTATATTAAGAAATCCTGAGAAGTGAATTCAAAAAATATAAATTGTTATGTTTATAGATACTTTCTTTATATTATAAGATTTTCTTGGAAGATTCACTAGGGAGAAATTGAAATGTTCCTTGTGGAACTTTATGTCTTATCTAAAGGAAAACTTTTTTTGGTTGTCCCCAATATATATAATGCTGCTTAGATCAATGTTTATTTATTGATGATTGAACTAAATGGGTCACCACCTCTCACAATCAATAACATGGGGCGGCTGTTCCATATGCGAGTTTGCTATTAACACTAAACACTACTTACCCATTATCATAGAATTTAAGGGTGTGTTTGATACGGCGAAAATTATTTTTTTAGGTGAAAAATATTTTTCTGCTATTTGATTAGTGAGTGAAAAAATAATACTAAAGATTAATAATAATATCACCAAATTAGAAATTGTTTTGATGAAGTTTTGAGTACTTGAAATAAATGATATTGTCCGAGTGTTAGTTGAAACAAGTAATATAAAGTTAAAAGTTAAAATAATTTTATATAAAAAAAATAAAGAGATGAACCACATAATAAATCAAATAAATATACCCAAAACTTATCTGTATTCAATGTTTATATCAAATAAATGAATACATCATATGTATTGCACATAGACTTTTATTACTTAATTATGATTAAGGGCTAAGTCCTCTCACTTATATTTTTAACTCTGTGATTACTTTGTTGTGGGGAAAAGCTTTTCTATTCTGTTTTGTTAGTTTAGTAAAGATTTTTTCCCTTACTAGTTAAGTGGTAAGTGGTAACGCAGGGAGCTATTTGTTAGGGGTGTCATACAGAAGCTAGTAAAGCAATATTTGAATGACGATAAATCAGACAACGGAAAAAAATATACCAGAAGAGACACAAACATTTAGCGTGGTTCGATCAATTGACCTACGTCCACCACAGAGATGAGCAATCCACTATATAAATGAGAGTAAAAAATATCGGGTGAACAACCTCATGAAGAGACAAACACAAGTGGCAGGCTAACACCTGTCCCGTAATTCTCCCCCTAAACAAGATTCTCAAACCTCATATGACTACATTGTGGATGTTGTTAAATGAGAAGGAAGGATCCTCAATTTATAGAAGTCCAAACTTTTTCCTCCAATAAAAGGGACTAGCCAAATATGGGAAAACCCAATTATAATAAATACGTTCCTTTCCTTCAAAAAATAAGAAAATCATATATGATGAGAAAATTAGGACAAATACCTAATAAAAACACAACAGTGCTATTTGTACATTATGCCCTTTTACAATTTTGAATTTAAGAGAATGTCATTTTCAGATCTCTTATGTGTAAAAGACAGATCTCTTATGTATAAAAGTAAATCTCTCATGTGAAAAAAAGGAAGTAGGGTCATAAAACTTAAAACAAGTTTATAAAGAGCCAAAAGATGTAGCGATATAGCGCTAGCTAGATTAGGATAGTGTTTGTCATAGAAAACCTAATCAGAATTTAAGTTATGTAAACATCGAGTAAAAATAAATATTTTTCACTTAATACGGTTTTGTTTGCTATAATAATAACTATTATCGCTCGTAATAAGTTGAACCGTGCGAATGAAGAAATTCTTAATAGAAAAAGATTCACGTTTAATTTGCGCAATAGCTAAATTTTAATTACTAGTTACATAAATTTTCAACTAGAAAACAAATTAGATCTTTAAAATCTTTTAGAGAAATAACATACTTCCCTACACAATTTTATAGAATTTCCTCTTCACACCCCCACCACGTGACTCCTCCTTGAACCGTCAAGATCTCTTAATACCCCACCCTTTATCTGCGGTTCAGATTCACCCACGCCATCTAACCCTTATCGCCAAACAAACGGTTTTAAACTCGCCACGTGTCGTCACCGATTCAATATTATACCCCACGATCCAACGGACCATGCAATTTCTCCCTTCCCCTCAACTCTCTCTCCCTCCCTCCCTCCCCCTCTCTCTCAACTCTCACCGGAAAATCAAGAACCCGGCAATATCTCCGGCCAAAATTCTCTATCCGACAAAGGGTTTTTCTCTTTTTTAAACTTTTCTTCTCTTTACCCATCAAACAAATAGTAATCCCTTTAATTCTGTTTATAGAAATATAGATTTTCTCTTGAAGTTTCAGCTGGGAAACCTTTTAAAAGAGGAAACATACAGTAATCCCTTACTGTATTTTGTTTTGTAAATTTGGAACTGAGGCTTGAATATCGATGGCTGATTCAGACAACGAGTCAGGAGGACACAACGCTGGAAACGAAGGATCAACAAGGGAACAAGACAGGTTTTTACCAATAGCAAACGTGAGCAGAATTATGAAAAAAGCTTTACCAGCAAACGCAAAAATCTCAAAGGACGCTAAAGAAACAGTTCAAGAATGTGTATCTGAGTTTATCAGTTTCATTACCGGAGAAGCAAGTGATAAGTGTCAGAGAGAAAAAAGGAAAACGATCAACGGTGATGATTTGCTTTGGGCTATGACGACTTTAGGGTTTGAAGAATACGTTGAGCCTTTGAAAATTTATTTGGCCAAGTATAGGGAGATGGAAGGGGAAAAGACTACTATGGGGGGAAGACCAGGTGGGGAGAAAGATGGTGGAGGGAGTGGGGGTGGTGGGGTTAGTCCTCGGGGTGGGGGGAGTGGTAGTGGAGTTGGGTATAATGGTGGGGGTGGTGGGGGTGGAGGGATGTATGGTGGTATGGGAGGTGGTATGATGTATCATCCACAAGGTCATCAGATGTATGGTAATCATGGGTCATATCATCATATGGGTATGGGCGGCGGTGGCGGTGGTGGTGGTGGTAGCGGCGGTGGTGGCGGCGGTGGTGGCGGAGGAGGTGGTTCACGGCCAAGGTAGGTGGTGGATGGAGATGAAACTTTGGACATTAATCAAATTAATCATATGATGTATCATTGTGTTGATAGCTACTTTTCTCTATTACTTTAGGTCCTTTTTAAATATATATTTTTTTTTTTTAGCTTTTTCTTTAAATTTGGAAGCACATTGACATGTGGAGTTTTAGATATGGTTTATTATAGCTTTTCTTTTGAAGTTGGATTAGTGGGTTACATGTGTAGTACTAGTACTTTGTGGAAAGGGAGATGAGAGGATAAAGTAGTACTTAATACATGATATAACCTTCAACGAAAGGCACTTTGGATATATATATATATATAATATATGTATTTAATGGGAAAATGAGATGGTATATTGTGTTATCTTTTAACTTGTACTATTTGTTTATGTGTTTTTGTTGAGTTTGCTTTTGCAACTTGCCACCACAAAACCTTCCCAAACCCCATCTCTGACCTAGTGGCAAATTCAACTATATATATATATATATATATATATATGTTTGTGAGTTTGATAGAACTTAGTGTTTTTTAGTGGAATTATATTTATATATGGGCGCCAAAAAACAAATATTAATAGAGCTAGATATATATTTTAGGATTCATTTTCTCGACTTAAAATTCATTCGTCTAAAATCTGAATCCGTCGCTCTTTCCGTTTTTGGAGTTCCTCAGAAAGACAATCATCACTATTCTGATATCTTGAATAATTAGGAAAATGATTAAAATTGTTGTCTCGAGACCAGGAATTTTTACTAATGATGTTTAAAGTTTATTATATACTATCTATAAAAAGTAATTTTTGACCTATATACATAATATAGTTTTATATAATTAATATAATTTTTCGATGAAAGAAAGAACGCTATGCACATTATGTGGCTACGCTACTAGTCTCGAGCTAAGAACTTATAGCGTTTAAAATTCAGAACTTTTTACCGCTGTAATATCTTAAGAAACTAAAAAGATTGGTGGAATTTTGAACACCAAAAGCACTTAGTAGGCGTTTGGACATAAGAATTGTAAAATTTCAAAAAATTATGAAATTTTTTTTCAAGTAAAAATAGTATTTGAAATTTAGAGTTGTATTTGGACATAAATCTTAATTTGGGTTGTTTTTGAAGTTTTGTGAGTGATTATTTTGAAAAATAACTTTTTGCAGTTTTTTAAATTTTCGAAAATTTACAAAATGTATCTTCAAGTGAAATTTGAAAAATTTATGAACAAACGCTAATTTCGAAAAAAAATTAAATCTTTTTGGAAAAATCTACCATCAAATTTATTGTCCAAACGGGCTCTTAAATTTGGTGATGTTGAAAGGAGCAGCAGTTAGGTTTTTCAGTTATAGAGTTGTTAAGGGAAGAGTAAATTTTGTGAAGTGACTGCTGCTAGACATTTGCCGCAAATGTCTATTATGGATAACGTTAAGAATAGGATATTTGCGTGTTCTGCTGCATAATGTTCTGCCATTTGTCTTACCATCAACCTCTTTCCCTAGGAGAAAAAGGGTAAACAACTTGAGGTACTAGTGTCATATGTTCCTATCTATATTCATGCTGCCCATCTGATTGTTTTTTAATTTTTCATTTAATGATCAGTATTTATTTTGGGATTCAATTACTTTAGACTCGTATAAAAAAAAAATTCATTGGAGAGTAAAGTATTTTCTATCAAGATTTCATATTAGGGTTCAAACCTAGAGGCGAAGCTAGAATTCTAATATCCTGTTTGGCTATAAGAAGTTTTCCACTTTTTCGATTCTTTTTTTAATTTTTTACGGAATCAGTGTTTGACCATGAAAATCTCAAATTTCACTTGAATTTGAATTTCGGAATTTTTCGGAAATTAAAATCTCTAAAAAGTTGCTTTTCAAAATTTCTCTTTAAATCATTTACAAAAATTAAAAAACAACTCCAAATGTATTCACGTCCAAACACAACTCTAATTTTCAAATACCATTTTCACTTTTAAAAAAAATTCACTTTTTTCCGAAATTTTACAATTTTTATGTCCAAACGCCCACTAAGTTTATAAGTTCGGAATTTTAATCATTTTAAATTACTGAGTTCTAAATTAATAATTTGTACGAAATTAATAATTTTTACAAGATAAATATAAAGTTTGAACCAAAGCTAGTGGGTTCGGCCGAACTTGTTCCAGGTACTCTAGCTCCGCCCCTGTTGGAACACGAGATCTTCAATTGAAAAAGAAAAAGTACTTACCATTTCATCACAAGCTTAGTGCCCGTTTTGATTGACTTATTTTAAGTGATTTTAAGCCAAACTAACTTTTAAGTCATTTCGTAGTGTTTGAATAGAGTAAAAAAGTGCTTTTAAGCACTTATTTTTAAGTTAAAATGACAAAAATAAGTCAAAAGTCAAAAGCTAGAATTCATAAAAAGCTATTTTAATTAAAAAAATTACTTAAAATAAGCTCATCCAAACGGACTCTTAATTTGATGGTCCCATTTGATTGTTACCTCTTACCAACTAATGTGCAAGGGAGTGAGTAAGCATCTTTTTAGGGGTATTATCACTTTTAGTTCGTGCCAGAAATTATTTATATTTGGTAGCCGAAAAAGTGTATAAAATTTGAATAATTTTTGTATATAACGTATAGAATGTATATATATACAAAAGATATATATAAATTATATACATTATTTCGGCTATTATTTTTACAGCGGCTACACAGTGTCATTTTTTCCATCTTCTTACTTACTTTTAATGGGTTTTCGGAAAGCTTCATAACTCTTGAGTTCGAGCTTTAGAAATGAAGAATTTTTTGTAAGAAAGGAAAAATAATAATCTCGAAGCACTTAATCAAGAGGTTTTTGAATTTTCAATTAAATTTGGATTGAATGTTCAAGTACCAAATCGATGGTTTTGTCGATCACTTAGGTATATAGAAGGAGACAATGACAAAAGACTAGCAAATTGCCTAAGAAATAACTACTCGAAAAAGGTTGAATTAAGATAAATACCGACCAAACTAAAGGCATTAAGCATAACAATTAAGGTGAAGCGGGGTAAGGAACAACAAATTTCTTTATGATAAAGATCTATTTTGCAAGTTAGTTATTACGAGTAGTTCCTAAGAAGATTATTCCTAATTTAAGCTAGTTTCCTTTATCTTCATACTTGTCATGACTCGGAATCCCTACCATCGGGACCGTGATGGCGCCTAACATCACACTTACTAGGCAAGCCAATGTTAGAGGTTTAACTAGCTAAATCTTTTACGTTTCAGTGATTAACAATAAACAAGCTAAAACCAGTAAAAATAAATGCGGAAGTAAGTAAATAGTATCTTTGTTTATATACTATTACCAATACTACTACTATTACTCCCCAAAATTCGGCGCCACAATCCACGAACGCACTAAGATTTACTACAAACATCTGTTCGAAAGAAGATACAATTGTTTATGAAGGGAAATAAAAACAGTAAATGCATGAGCATAGAAGGGGACGCCAGGGCCTGCGGACGCCAACAGGACTACCTTGGGTCTCCTAGTTGTAAAATCTGTAACCAACCTCTCGATCAGCCACTACCTGCTCCAAATTCTGCACAGAAGGACCAGAGTGCAGTATCAGTACAACCGACCCCGTGTACTGATAACTGCCGAGCCTAACCTCGACGAGGTAGTGACGAGGCTATGGCGGGACATTTACAATATAACCTGTATACAGTGTATAATAAAAGCAGAAAGAAGAATAGGATAAAATAAAGCAGTAACTTGCAAGGAATGAATACAGTTCTCGAAACATATCATCAGTACCCAGCTATAACCAATCCTTAAGTACATCTTAAGACTACCGTTCAGTTAACACAGTCAAAGAAAAGCATAAGCATAAAGATTGTTGCGGCGTGCAACCCGATCCCACCATATCAGAATAATCACAATCACAATCACAGTTCACCCTTATCTCAACACAATCCACCTTTATTACACATGTTGCGGCGCGCAACCCGATCCCATCGTATCACAATAATCACAATCACAGTTCACCTTTATCTCACCATAATCCCCCTTATTACACCTGTTACGGCGTGCAACCCGATCCCAACATATCAATATCATTTACTCAGCAAATACAGAAATTATATAATTCAAATCACATAACTCTTCACAAGGTTCAACTTCAAACCAAAGCATTTAGAAAGACTATACACTACGAGACTTTACACAAGTAATACTACTCAGCGAGACCAATCCATAATATGCCTTGAAAGTATCAATAACCAGCTCAAACAATAATAGGAGAAAATGAATCTACGAAAGAACTAACACTTCCAACAAAAGATATCATGTCTAGCAAGTAGCAATTAGGTAAGGAATTACAAGTAAAGCATGTAGCAGTTAAGGCAGGAAAAGACAATATAATAAGAACGGGAAGAAAACAGGCAAAACATATAAATTGGCGGAGCATAGGTACTCGTCACCTCACCTATACAATGCTCACATGGATTTCATATAGAAAATAAGTCAAGGGTTCCTAATCCCTCGAGTCAAAAATAGACACAACACTTACCCCGCTCCGCGGGCCACTCAATGCTTAATTACCACTTTCCCTCTAGTATCCACCTCCAAACCACTCGTATCTAGTCACAATTAACTCAATAGCATCAATTATTGCTAAGGAAATAAATTATAACACATAAATTTAGATTTCCCAACCGACCCCGGGCCTGCTTGGTCAAAACTCGAGGTTCGGACCAAATCCATTCACCCATTCACCCCGAGCCCGAATATGTAAATAGTTTTGAAATCCGACCCCAAATTGAGGTCTAAATCCCATTTTCCTAAAAATTTCTAATTCTACCCAAACCCCCAATTTCTACTATGGAAATCCTAGATTTTTGGTTGGAAATTCATGAAATGTGACGGACATTGAAAGAAAGTGGGTTAGGATCACTTACCAAAGTTTTGGGGAAGAATTGGTCTTGGGAGAATCGCCTCTAGGGTTCTAGGATTTGAAAATGTGGAGAATGGGAGAAAATTCCGTCTAACTTAAGTTTTGATCAGTTGCAAGTGTCGCATTTGCGACCTAGGGTTCGCAAATGCGAGCACCGCAAATGCGAATAACATATCACAAATGCGAAGGTTTCACATTCTTGTCTTCATCGCATTTACGACAAATAGTTCGCAAATGCGAACTCTGATCCCTCCGCAAATGCGACCAATTGATCGCATTTGCGATCACTGTTGCCTAGCTTCCACTTCGCAATTGTGAAGATTTGTCCGCAAATGCGAACACTGGCTCCCCGCAAATGCAACCTCCTGATCGCAAATGCGAACTAGTGCTGGCCCAGGTACACTTCACAAATGCAAAGAATTTGCTCCCAATTGCGGGCCTGTCAGC